AAAAAAAAAAAAATGAGCATAGAGTTTTTCTTGTCTTTCGAACTGATTTTCTATTGTGAAAAAAAACGTCATGCAATCTGTTTTCTAAACGTCACGCTTAAAAAAATACATCTCGTGAATTGTTCTTATCGATACAATAAATTTTAACGGTTAAATATTATATGTTAATTATATTTACGTTCGAATAAAGTCAATTTATACGTTTTTAATTTTATTACGTGTTATTGATGTCGTCGTTCGTGAAATTGATCTTAATTTTCATTACGCGTTATTATTAGCACCATGTCGCTATCATAAATGAATTTCCTAAAAGTGAAATTCGATTGTTACAAGCGAATCAATTCCTAAGGTTTTCGTGTTATTATGCAACTAACATACTAATTTGCGAAGTATTATTAAAAATAATATTTTATTTTTATATTATTTACCTTTTATCCTTAATTAGAAATACGATACCATTGCACATGTTTCTTTTTTTTTAAGTTTATGATTCCCATTACAAAATAAATATATATTTTATTTGAAAAGTGTATTTCGAATTATTTATTTGCGACGCATATTTTTATTTAATATCCACTCGGCAGAAACACTATGAAATAATATTACACGAAGAGTGAAATTTTAGATATTTTAAGGCATATTTGGCAATGTTGCTCAAATTAGAAAATGCAGGGTCTTAGAAGCTTGATCAGCCTAGCTTTTGGCTTTCAAAAATAGAACAACCTATAATATCCAATCCAAAAACATATTCCTCAAATTTATTTGCATATTTTCTACACGTTTTTAAATATAGTATCCACACCTGAGTGTAAAATAACTTCAATTTTTTTTCTCATTGCATCTAGAAAGGAATGAAACATGAATTTTAATGTTACAAATATGTAACAATGAAGGTTATCCAGACCAACACTTAATACAGATGTGTGCACTGTATATACATATGTAAATACATACTCGTATATATGCAAATATAATTATTTATATATCATTAAAAGAATATTACTATAAATTGCACAAATAATGTTATTTCATTGTATATTTATAACATTCTGAGACAAGATAGTTTCTAATAATACCATATTGATATTTTCATTATATTTAATATTATGAAAATTTAAATACAAAGGAGTAATTTTACACTGAGTAATTTTTGTTATCTTACTAGCAAATATAGAATATATTATTCACAAAACAATACTAATATTTAACATTATTATTTCTATAATTATACTATTTAAAGACAAAATAGATTTTAAGAGACAACATAGTATACAATACTATCTTTTTATGTTTAAGATATTTATGTATATACATATGTGTGTGTGCATATATATATATTTGCATGTTTTTATGTATGATACACAAATGTACTTAACTTAAACTTGTAGAATCTTTATAAATTATTATTATTGGATGTATTATATCATGCTCAGATGAAGAAGACAGTGGTATACCTGTGCCTACATTGGGGAATTCAAATGAAAGTTTAACAGACAATGTAACTATACATGTTTACAAAGAAAGTATCACAGGTGGACATTGGTGTGCACGAATCGTATTCTTTGCTATTTTAGCAGTTCTTGTTGGCTTAATCGGTGTAATTATTTTGGAACACAGAGGCACTACAGATAGTAAGTGAATTTAAAGTGCATTTATAATAGAGGTATGTTTTTTATAAATATATTCAAATTTTTATATAAAATATTTTATGTTCTAAGTTAGCACACCATTAGAATCGTCTCGCTGGGCCTTCATTTTTGATGGCTGGGTAGATGATTCACTTTCCTTGCATGATGAGGGACATGACGAAGATGAACACGAAGGCAGTAAAGAAATTGAAACAGATGAAACGAAGGATGATCACGATACAGAGATAGAGTCTGAAAAATCTGAAAATTCTGAAGAAGAAAATGAAGATGTAGATGAAATTGAAGAAGGAAGCAAAGAAGAAACACAAACTGAAGAAGAAGAAGAAGAAGAAGATGAGGAAGAAGAAGATGAAGAAGTTGACAAAGAAGAAGAAGAAGTTGAAGAAGAAGAAGAAGAAGAAGAAGAAGAAGAAGAAGAACAACAACAACAACAACAACAACATGAAGTAGAAGAACAAGAAGAAGAAGAAGGAATAGATACATATGAAGAACAAGAGGAGGAAACGATAGAAAATGAGTCAGATGAAGAACAAAGTAAAATTTTTCAGGATAAAGAAGGTATTGAGATGTAAAACATTGCAATATAAAAAAGAATACAAACTGAAGATATTATTATCAATTTTAATTCTAACAGAATATATCAGCACAAAATTAAATCATCAAAAAGAGTATGAGGAAAAACTAACAAAAATTATACAAGATGATGAAAACATTAGTCCACAGAATTTGTACGATACTGATGTATTAGAAGAAATTTATGCTACTAGTAAAGAAGAAAGTAAAGAAGATATATTGTTTGAAACAGATAGTCAATTTCATGAAATCATTAAAGAGTCAACGAATGAGGATGAATTTGAAACGTTTTTAGACATTCCCGGTATCAATGAAATTAATGATGACAATATAGAACCCTTAGAAGAGGTAAGAAAAATGTAGCTATATATAATTATCAATACAATAATTTATGAAAAGAGAATATCTATTATACATTAAAAACGTGTACTAGCAATACGAATAGTATTTTTATTATTAGCATTGTTATCTTTTCTACTAAAATGACCTTTGTTCTTATTTTAAACGAGCTTCTTAATTGAGCTTCAAGAAATTGTTTCACTGTTTATGTGACTATTATTTAGATTACTGTTGTCAATATTAGACATTTTTTAATAAACATTACTTTGCATACAAATTAACTAGAACTTGACAATAAACATGTAGTCTTACATGGTTCATTAGACCATAGTTCATTTTCTAGCTATTTCTTTAAACTGTAGCATATTATTTAATCATTTTTTTACTAGGTAGAGAGTGTAGAACCTGAAGAATATATTAGTGATATAGATAAAAAGCCAGATATAGAAGAAATCGAAGAAGAATCTATTAGTGGTAAGTTAAATGTCAGTACTTTACAAAATTGATTAATACAGATTTTCTATAACATGTTATAAGTTTAGCGATCCTCCATGCTCTTATATCTTCTGATTAATACAACTGCATTAGCAATATCAATATAAAAATGATAAAAATATTGAAATATTTATGATATTTCACTTTTGGTTTGAAGCATCAATGATGAATAATATCTGATGATTACAGTGGCAATGAAGTTTGGAGTTGGTATGGCACTTGTAATTGCTGCACATTTTGTTCTTGTGAAACGATGGAACAACGGTAAATGTTATTAACACTTATATTTTACAAGTGTAATATCATAACCATTTTATATTCAATACGAATCTTTAATTAACATTTTCTAAACTATTTTCTATACCGGATATCATTGTAATTAATACAATTATGTAATCAACAAAAATATGATAAAGAACTTAGAAATTAATACCTAAATATTTGGTAGAAAAGGATATATAAGTATAGAATACTCTAGAAGTTAGAATAGTACATAACTTGGTTCACATCATACTTCATCAAATTCACTGTTTATCATTATCAAGATTAATACATAAAATGTTATTAATTAATGGTATACTTTTTTGATGTTTAGAAGTTACCTTTGTTGAAACTGAATCTAACCTAATTGCATCTGAGAAACGAAACAGGGAAGAAAATGTAACTTCAGAAAGGGCAAACATTGTTGAAGCAAGAAATTATAAAAAGGAAAATAAGGAAAAGTATGACAAACAAGACATAAGAGTAGAGAATGAAGAGGAAGAGATGGAGGAAGAAGGAATAGAGGATGAGGAAGAAGAGGAAGAAGAAGAAGAAGAGATCGATAGCGATTGGGAATGGAAAAAGGAAGAAGACAATGATACTGAACAGGAAGATGAAGTCGAAATTGAACAAAAGAATAAAGAGCACAAAAGAGGAATAGAAGATAAAGAAGACGCAGAAGAAGAAGGAGAAGAAGAAGAGGAGGAAGATGAAGACTTGGATGAAGAAGAGGAAGAGGATGAAGAAGAAGATGATGATGATGAAATTGAAAATTTTGATGACTCTGAATTGATTGCTAAACTTGAAGCTAAATATGGAAAATTAGAAAGTGTACAAGATAATGAAACAGAAACCAAAGAAGCGAAGGAAACAGAAATTAATAGTGTATCAAAACGGAGGCGTAATTAATACCTTCTTAAATTGTATGCATGTTAATTTAAGGAACAAATGCATAAAGTTTGAAAAACTGATTTTAGCATTGTATAAGTTTCTGTCCTACGTTAGTCGTTTATTGTGCTTTATTCTTTGAATTCTATTACTATTTTAAAATAACAGAATAACAAAATGGTAATTTCATTGTTTTTGTTGTCTTATATAAGAAATTAAAGAATGAAATTTAGTTGAGTAAAATGTTAAAAGTGTATGTGTATGAAGTATGACTAATACAAATTATTTAAAAATCTAATCAAATTCAGTGAGCATGGAGGATCTGTTATGAGGTATTGAATTTCACATAGTATATTAAAGAAAATATATTATTTATATAACCAATTAAATAAAGAAAAATCAAACAGCATATAAAGAGGGAAAATATTGTTCATTAAAATAAAAAGTTTGTTGTCTTTTTTAATGAATACATGTATATTTATATTTGTATATGTATTATTTATGTTATGTTACGTTATCTTATGCTCAATTAAATATGTTAGGTGATATTTCTAATGTTCTTAATTATGTGTAATTTTTATTTTACCAGAATTTTCAACCACAACAAATGTTAACACCAAAAGGAAGACAGACAATGTTATACAAAACAAAAATAGCACAAAAATGTATGATTTTAATGTATCAAATGCTGAAAGTAACCTCATTCAGATGGAAAATGATTGATACATATAAGGTTAGTTGTATATTTAAAAATACTTTTTATAAATACAAATAATTTTCTAATTAATTAATTAATTTTCATATATTTCATGAAATTACAAAAATGTAACAATCTTCATTTCGTTTTAGGAACGTAACTAGTTTTTTTATCCTTATCTTGCTTGATATTATTACTGCGATTATTGGTAGTAATAACTACTTGTAATGTTTTGATAGCGGCGTACGTACATTACATTTTTTTTTTTACATCTGTATACATCCATATTACTCTATTATAAAGTAACATTTCATTTGCTCAATACAATACGTAAAAATATATGTTAGAATTTGATTGACTCATATGTTATCTATGACACATATATTTTCTATTTCATTGTGAAAGATACTATTAGAATCTTATAGTATTTTATTACGGGAGTATTGTAATTTTGTCCGTTTCTTTGAAATGTATTTATGTATCTAATAACCCCCTGCTTTATATAATACATATATTAGAAGATTAGAACATGTATTGAAATTCTGTTAAAACATTTTCTTAAAGATTTTAAGAAGTTTTCTACAATATGTGTCAACAATTAATGAGTTAATTAAACAAAATTTTTTTGACGATTGCTACAATTTATGTTATACAAAAAATTACTGTGAATAAATGACTCATTAAATATATAAAAAATAGTACTTATTACAATATAATTAAAAGAAATTTTTTAAATTAATTATAATATTTTATTCAATGTTACTAACTATCTGAAGTATAAATTAAGGTACACGATTTGTAACACTATGCTAATTTTATAGAATAAACAAAACAATAAAAGTAGGATTTATTTACAACGTAAATTATTAATTACAACATTTCTGAGTTGAAAAGAATCTATGATTTTTTTTTATCAAAGTCTAATATTGTAACTTATTTCATTTTCAAACGTTTCACTATCATACAATAATTAAGAATAAAATGACAATTCTATATCTGTACATGTTTTTAATAATTCTTAATGCAATTACATACTAGATATATAGAATAAAGATACACAATTCTCATAATGATTAGAAATTGCTATCGTCACGTTCCTCATCCACGCATCCATCATATTATCACAAATACAAATATTTATGCATATAAAATTGGTTTAAAAGGAATTAAGAGAAAGAATACCTAAATATTTCGAATTGGATAAGAATATCTTATGATATCGAATGCATAATTAGTACTGCGCTAACTAATCTTTTATTAATCATAATATCATTCTGTAATTGTATGAACGTGTACATATTACAGAATTAATGGATTCATTGTTTTCTAACAATATAAGAAACGCGACATAGGATAACTTAATATTTATGCTTATGCCTATGTTTACGTGGAGATGGAGAAGGTGGACTATTAGCTCTATGTTTTGAAGCACGTGGTGGAGGGGGTGGTGATAACGATGGTGATCTAGCTCTTCTCTTTCTGTCATTTCGTTCACTAACAGGCGACCTACGGGATACCCTGGACGAAAAGGAAGGCGAAGGTGTTCGTCGAATACGTGGCGGTGACGGTGTCACTGGCACTCGTTTTTTATACGGTGATCGTGATCTACGTTTACCACGTGGTGATCTACTACGCGATCTAAAAATACATACATGTCGTATTCTTACAATGTATATCATAAGATCTGATAAATAAATAAGACTCGGATTATATTCTAATATCCAAAAATCTATATGTACAATAAAATATTATTCTTTTTAATCGAATTCATTTAAGTTATTCGGTTTTATGGAGCGTACACGATAATAAATTAATTTTTCATCAATCGTTTTGTTAAAGATTTCTTTTCTATCATAAATTCTTATTACATATATTACAAACATTTCGTTCGTGTTATGTATATGTTTTTGAATTAGTAAATTTTAGATAAATCTAAACTTCGCAACTTCTGTATGTTACTTAATTATTCAATAGATAAGAAGTTTGTGTTTATTTTTGTATTGTGTAGTTTAATATTCATTGTTCTCGTAAAATATAGGAGAATTTAATTAAACTCACACAAATTTATAACATATATTCACCTGTATCTACTGCTTTTAGACGATGGGCTTGTTGAAGTTCGTCTTCGATCTCTATAGTGACTTGGAGATTCTGGTGTTGTACTTCGTTTCTTTTCCCTTCGTCGATCCTCGTCTCGTTCTTCACTTTTTGCGTCTTTCATTTCTCTCTCACTCTACAATACACACTCATTATATGGCATAAGTTATGCAAATTTTTAAACCAATACTAAAAACAAAACTTACCTTCCTTATGAGCTTTTTCCTATAATGTTCTACTTGTCCTTGAATTGTCATGCCGGATTTTAATGTTCTTCTACCACTTTCCAGTTCATCTTGATATTGCATTATTTTAACTTCAATTTCGCGTAGTCTATTTCTTCTTTCTTCGTTATAATCTCTACCACTGTAAAATTACATACAAAAAAATAGTATTATAACTCTACAAAAACCATGTATAGTTTTTCATTTGTATATAGGGTGTTCGCGAAAATACTATAGCTAGCGTTGTTTTTGTAAATAGTAAGTATTAAAAAAAAATGATTGAGGAAAAAGTTTGGTAATCATATATGACCGATATAATGACGTATATGAATTTTTTATATTTGCAATATTTTTGAAGAAACAAAGGTGACCTTTCATTTCTTACATGGAAAATTTAAAATCCTCGATGGAATAAAAGGTACATTAATAAACATCTATATACTACCTCGAATCCATACTGGTATCTTGAGAATTGGAATCATCATTCTGGCCTAATTCTTCCCATTTACTGGTCGTCATGGCTTGTGCTTCAACCTAGCGTTCGATAATTCATTTTTAAAAATAGGAATGTATGTGAAATAGTGTTAAGGTAATTTTCAAAAACCTGATCAGGATCAACGGTTTCCCATCGCGATGGAACAAAACCTGCAGGGATTGCTGGCTTCTTGTCATCTTCTTTGTTTCGTATATTTAAAGAATCTTCGTCGTCCATAGGCACACCATCGATATCTTCATCCACTGAAAACATAAATGTTTAATAAAATACATTCTTCTAAATACATGAACCACTTAACAACTAATTAATAAAAATATATACGTTAATAGAAAGATTCTTACTGGGAACGCCGTCAATGTCGTCATAATTAGATGTCGTTTGTGGAGTTAGACCATGTTTCATAGCACCTTTAAGAAGAGCAGCACCGTCTAATGGTACTCCATCCAAATCTTCCGCACCATCTCCATCCACATCTGATAAAGGTGCTCCATCGATATCTTCATCATTTTCCGGTTCAGGTTCATCCATCTAAAAACATTAACTTATGTTTATTTACTTCTATATCATTTTTAGAAAAATATCATGATTCAAAGAATTCAATTTACCAAGACAAGACCAAGAAAAGTATTCTGCAATTTAACAAGAAAATCTCGCGAGTATACAGCCCAATCTTCCCACGCTCTGAACATTCTCATAACACGAACTTTAAATCCTTCTGCTTTTAATCTACTATCAAATTGCTTATAGGCTTGGTGAACTTCGTTAAATATATCCAATAGTCGAGTTTCAAACCTGTATTATAAGCATATATTATTCACTACACAAAACTTCACTTACATGTTAATCACAATTTAATACATGGAGTGAAATCATATTGTAAGAATCGTTAAAATTATAAAATAAAGCAACTTACGCTTTCCGATAAATAGTAGCATTATTTACTTTAACGCCACAGTTATGTAATATATCCGATATAAGATATAATCTCGCGATTTTCTTATTTACAGGAGTTTGTAATATTGACAGAGACTCTGAAATACAATCACAAATCTCTTCTGCTGCTTCAGCATGTTCTATACAAAATACCATTGCTTCTGCAACTTTTATTCTTTCAGGTGATATGTTTCGCAATAAATCTTCTAATCGATCTCTCTGACTACACATGAAACGTTTTTTTTAGCAAGCAAATGTCAATATTAATCGATAAAATTCATAAAAGAATATAATATAAATTTTTCTCTTAATGTATTTCAATTGAATACCTATTTGACAAACTGCCTCTTCTGGGTTCTTGTCTTTCTTCCATCTCAATCAACTCATCAGGCATTCCTTGTGTCCATGGATTGATTGGCGGCGGTCTCCATACACTTCCACCTTTAAACATTCTAAAATCTTCGATGCGCCATTCCTTCTGTCCATCGCCTTGTAATATGGAATATAATTTCCACCGGTAATAAGTGTGCGCAGGAGAATAATTTTCAAATAGAAATCTGAAATTTAAAACCAGTTGTTCGAAGTACCACAACCACTATCGATGTAGTTCATCATATAAGATTCAAATTCCACAAACCTAAACATTGGATTATTTAGTTCTCTGTTCATTATCATTGCTTCAAACATTGGACCTTCTCGAATCACAAATTCTACCATTCTATGTATTAACATTACTAGGTTCCTACAGTACAGAATTTAATGAGAAATGTAATTATACATTGTATACCTATATAATATCTACAATAGAAAAATGAATATATACATTTTGAAGTATACATTTCAAATGACTGAAATCAAAATATACCTTTCTGTTGGAATAACCACTTTGACCACTGCGTTCTGCAAAACCTGTGACAATTCCCATTATAACGGAACAGTTATATTTGATTAGATACTCCAGCCCAAAATAGACCAAATTGAATATAATTATCACAAGATTAATAGATATTGTATTGTTTACAATTTACATATATAGGTTATAGTGAATATTAAATACTGATAAAAGAATATTATGTATAATAAATGTCTTAATAGTTTTATTTTTACTTTTTCATTAAAAAATAATTACATATGTGTAATATTATGTATGTGTGCCCATAAGTATCAATAAAACTTATTAACTTATTTATTGTTTTATTTTATTAAACGAATTAAAATGTGAACATTGATTGGTTTATGACCATTATTACAGTTATTAATAATCATAACAAATGTTAAATTTTTTTGTATTGCTTATTTAAAAAGAAATACTTTAATAATAAAGTATTCTCTAAATAATTAATAAAGAACATTTTTAGATTTTACAGACTATTTCGGATATAAGGTTGTGCAGTAATTTAATAATTGCTGTACACTCTTTAGTCCAAAATTTTCTATAAAACTTATCATTGTCCTTTCAATATGTACAGTATTTTAAGAGAAAACACCCTTACAAAGACTATCCTAATAAAGTATTTTATGTTGAAATCAAAATGTTCCTTTATTAAAAGAAAATAATCTTACCTTTTCAAAATTTTCTTTTTCTTGAGTGTCTGCAGCCTGTAGATTTCGAATACGAGGTACCTGAATTTATGTTTTGGAAATAATTATACAAGTTGTATATGTATAAATACAGTAATTTTCTACATATGTTGGTTATTAAATATCTTGATGTATTATCAAAGAGCGAGTCACACACGTAAGCACTTTCTGTCCTGTATATAGACCAATTTCAACCAATTTTTTCCGAGAAGTTTAGAGTGTAAGCAACCCGATACATGATAGAATGTTCTACAAATATGTATATCTATGGTTATAGAGACAATATATTTAATGTCAATTGTTCGGAAAAGTAACTCGACCACGTATTTGCTTAGTTTTGTTTTAGATTCATAAAAAAAAATAGATAATTAAAATGGTCTCTTCTCGTAACCATAAATAAAAAATAAATATAATCTTAAGATATTACTGAAATATACTAATACAACAATTTTAAAAATAAGTTAAAACTAAATTTGTACCTATCTTGCAGTGTTAACGATAATATCTACAACCGGAATTTAATTTTATGAGTAAAATTGATACTCTTAAACAAAGTACTTATTGTACTTACAGTGTGGAATAGACTCACGTATAAAACAGTTAATAAGTTATGTAGAGTATAAATCGCATTATAGGAAATTCCTTAGTAATGAATTTTTATTCTAATAGCACGAATAATGCGAGTAAGATGTTGCGGTCGCAAAAATCAAAATAATTAAAAAAACAGAAGAAATTGTTAGCGATGGTGATAATAAATTGGGAAACGGAGAATTTCCGCATTTTATTACGTAGCGCGTTGAAAGAACTTGCGTCATACGGGAGATTATTGTAAATGTGATGTAGTAATTATATAAAGCGTTGTTTGGTAATAACAAAATTAATTAAAATTAAACATGAGTTTCATTAATTACTATCACTTAATTTGTTCCATGTACCTTATGTCTGTCACGGCGATGTGGTTGAGCATTAAATGGAAGACCAGATGGAGGTGGTGGCTGTGTGATTTCCATCAAAGCAGGTGGAATATAAATCGGATAAGGTGGAATCGGTACACTTTTTCCCCAGCCTAATTTCATCTCATATTGCATTATGTCACGACCTATATCAACATAACATGAAGAAACGTTTTTATAATTATATCATAAAACAATGTTTTATACCAATTAACTAAAACTGACTTATTTTTTTATCTTTTTTATAAATATAAAATTCTTAATTAAAATTACATTTAAAAATTACAGAATCTGAAATACTATAGTATTATCTCACCATTGAGATTTTTTAAAGCTCGTTCCCCGTCTTTGCGACTCATGAAAGCAACAAAACCGCAATTTCGTTGTCTAGCTTTCTCTTCGTCACTTCGTGGCCACATAATTTTAATACTAGCCAATGGTCCATACTTGCCAAATATTTCCATTAACTGTTGCTCTGTAATCTATTATATGAAATAGTGAGATAAAGTATTCCTATTAATACTTTTTATATAATCTTGTAGTAATTATTACAATTTTGAGTATTCTTTTATGCTTTATTTGACAGAAATATTTTCCACTATAAAATATACATAATAGCAAGCGATTTTTGTCTCTAGAAGATTTCTGATAAAAACTGTAGAAAATAACAAACTAGATATATTTATGATATTGGAAATCACAGATATATAAAACATTAAATTTAAAAGAGAAAAATAGTAAAAGTTTACATGTTATTATATAAACTTTTCAAAATCGTAATGCTACTACTGAAAAACACTTCTTTTGAATAAAGCATAAAAAAGATATTCGAAATAACAGTGTTAGATAATGCACCTTATGTATGCACTGTAAGTGTAAATTAATATATTCAAGTTTTAGTTATTCATACCTTTGGATTTAAATTTCCCAAATATAAATTTGTTGTATTAGGATCCCCGTTGTCAAATGATCCATCTACAAAAAAACAATCTTTTTATGCGTGTAACATAACAATTTTAATATTATAAACAGAAACAAAGAAAACTAAGGAAAAGGGTATTGTTTACCCTCATAAATCAGGGCTAGGAGTCGTGGATCATCGATAAGGTTATGTAAGTTGGCCTTTCGTGGATCAGGATATGAGGACATACCTATCAGAGGTATTTTTTTAGATTTAAACTGTTAATTTAAGGACGAAAATGAATTATTTGCATCATAGTTATTGTAAATAGACATCACAGTATCTACTGCAACTGAAGAAAATTGTATTTCATAGCTAAATTGTGACATATTTTTATGGGTTTGCCTATAAATAAACCTATGTGTAAATATATAGATGTATGAAACCTACATTCAGATCCTAGGTCTATGTCAATTTACCTTCAACACATTTTAAAGCTGCCAACATTGGATCCTCTGATTGAGCAGATATAACAGTTTTGACTACACCTTTGTATTTATGCCTTTCTTCTCGCTCTTCTTGTATCATTTTTAATTCTTCTTTAAATAGTTCAAGGTTGCTCTTTTTCTTTTCACCTTCTTTTTTCTTTTTTCCCAATCTATCCAATTTTCTTTCATTCGATCCAAGCAATCTTGCATATTCTTGTGCTTGTTCTGCTGATGATCTACTGTCAACAAGCTCTGATATTTTTGATTGGGGTTTGTAAAGCTTTCCCTTCTCTCTTGTGTCCTCCTCTATTAAATAGAAATTAATATAGTCACTATTTATCAATTTTTCTAAAGTGGAATTCAAATGGTTTTACCATTTGTTAGTTTGTCTAACCTCCTACGCTGTTATTCATTATGCAAGAATAGGTAATAATGTGCTAAACACAATTCTACTTTTGTTAGATTACTATAATACAATAAGATTTTCATAGTTAAAGGACAAGAGTGAAAGTTTATACAAATTTCAAGAAAATTGGATTCTAAGATCTGTAGTTTCTATAGTTGACACTCTTAATATTAAATCTCATAAATGTAATGAGAAGAATGATAAAAGCCTAACAATAGAATCCATCTTTAACTTTAAAATTGTTTACTTGTGTTAGTATGATTACATACATGTTTTGTAAATAGAGTTTCTATATAATTTTAATAGAAGTACTTTAGTGTAAAATTCAATGAGCAGGTTAACTATACACAATCAATTGTACTGATGATATAATAAAAGCAACTTACGTCGTTTGCCTGCATCGTAAGTCCCTGCTTTTACCCAAACTTTACTTGTTGTTTTACTAGGAGTCTCCTGGAAGGTTGCTACAAACTCCTCAAATGCCTATGTATAAATTAACAATGATTGTAATAATAATAATAGAGTTAGAATAATATATACTTTTCACTCCAATGTATATTTTGTCTTAACAAATTGCATATCACGTACTTGAGCTGCAGCTTGTTCTTGCTCCTTCTTACGTTGCTCTTCTAATTCCTTTTTACTCAATGGCCTCTTGCCCATTGTGCCAATAGAAAATGCTTTCAGTTTTTGTTCAGCAATTTGCTAAATATTTGAAAAAATAATTGTTCATAAGTACTGGAATTTTGTTAAATTGTAAGATTTATTTATATAGTTATACCTTCATAATAGCCTTATCAGCCATCTGTAGATATTTTAACCTAAAACATTAACATAAAACGAATACTGTTTTATCAATTAAAAGCTACCTAGGAGCAAATTATCTTAAGTGCGGAAATAAAATTTGTTTATGATACGAAATTTCAACTGAATCCAATGAAGGTTGATACAAAGCATTATAATAAATATATGGATACTGTACGTTGTTTGCAAGGATTAAAAATCGTAATCAATACAATTGTTATTTATGTATACAGTTGTCCTTAAGAAGACGTCTTTACGAATTTTTATAATTAGACATTATTGTAAAACGCATATTTTAATATTTCCAAAAATATTTGTCTTATGGGTGCGCAGGAGTCAGAGCCAAACTCCGAGTTGACTTCAGCGACAGTTGCGGAAAAAGTAGGAAGCTCCGGGACAAGGATAGCTATTGCAGGAGAGACAAAGGCAGAGTGATATAAACATTTGTAATTTTTCAATCAATTATATCCATTTTCTGAACCGAGGAAGTGACCTTTTCGTATGATTTTTGTATAAACTATTCTTTGTAAAATTCTGCAGCTCGCTACAAGGCTCAATATTAGATATTGCTTTTGAAACATACTAAAAATACGTTTAAAGGCAAGAAATTTATTATGGATCTTTTTTCCAAAAAAGGGCCTTGCAGCGCACTGCGGAACTATACAAGGAATATTTTAAGAAAAGATTCATGATTCATCATTGCTTCCTAGGCTTATAAAATGGAAACAAAGTTGTTGCTACGAATTGAGACGATTCGTATGCTAACATGGCTGTTTCAAAATCGTGCTTTGCGTCGCAGGTCGCACGCTGTCGTCGTCTTCCTTTCTGTATCGTGTCGGTGGTCTAAACACGCTTTTCGACTTGGTTCGCAGGTATAGTAGCAGTTAGCAGGTAGTAGTAGTATCGTACACTTCTTCGACCATATACAGGGTGTCCCAAAAATGTTAGAACTCCTTGAAAGGGATGGCT